CAGTGACATGCCAGCCATTCAGGCTCTTCATGTTGTCCACCACACATGTTCGAGACACCACACAAATGGCACATCAAGCACCTGCACATCCTGCGGCAGCACACAACGCGCAAGAGACCAAAGTGATTCGCATGCCACCTGCAAAGGCGCAAAGGCCACTCAACATTGGAGGGCAAGTGTGTTTGTGCTCATTGACCAATGCCTCAGCTCTGGTGCCAACACTTTTTCTCATCCCTGTGGCTGCGCTGCACAACGTGCAGCGCTGATGTTGCAAAGAAAGATAGGACCCATGCATAGTGTCGGCTGCAGACAACACCCCCAAACCAAGAACCACCATTTCTGCACCCTTGATCAACGTCTCCTCTCCAAATGCCCCTGCTTCCACGTTTCAATTCTTGAATCTCTAGCGCATAATAGCATAAGACTTTACATGCTTACCATACAAACGATCATGACTGGCCACTCGGCATCAATTGAAGAGCGAGCGTAAGTTCTGCTCAGAGGCCTGGGCCTCAGCTCTGGTGCCCACACTTCCATAGTCATGTCGGCTGAAGGGTGATGCCAACTTTCGTGGAGTTGGCACAGCTTCATATTAAGATATTTTTCCTCCTGTCGGCAACCATATTCTCCGCTGCCTGTTGCGCATCCAGTATCCAAAGTTTTGCCTAGTACTAGTCAAAGCGCTTCACAGATTCAACTCCATGCTTGCCATTCAAGAAGTTGGCTTGCGCTCCGTGTAGTCTGGCTGAACGAGCCAGTCAAATATGAAGCTTACTGAAAATCTGATGGAAGTCTGCGTTTTGTTTTCCAGGTCCATTATTGGAGCCCAAAAAAACCACGATATAACCCCCATATCATCCCTGAAGATGCAAGCTGCAAGCGTGATGCTCAGGCAAGAAGCTGCACTTTGTGAGAAGTCAGTTATTCTTTCAGGAGGTCGCAAAAAGGTTACTGCAATTCAAGGGACAAAGGGTGTTCCTCTCATCTTGCTCGCAGAGTATGTTGTCAATCTCCTCGTGGAAGCACACACACACACACAAGTCCAACACCAATGTATACCCCATGATACTACAACACCTTCCATGTTCGTTTCCAGTATCCCTAAATCATCCTACATACCCGTAGATGTTTTGGGCAAAGTCTCCCTAAATAGCAGTTTCCATGTGATTTTCCATTATCCCAATATAACCCCTATACAATCCCAATATTTCCCTATTTAACCCCTATATAATGCCTGTATTACCCTATATAACCGCTGTATACCACTGAGGCCCAGATGCACAGCTACTCTAAACCCTAAACCCCGAAAACCAAACCCCTAAACCCTAAACCCTAAACCCCTAAACCCTAAACCCAAACCCCAGCCCCAGCCAGCGCCTCCTGTAGCTTTGAAGCCGTCAAGGCCTGCCCAAGCTGTCGAACAACCGGGCAATCCCCTCCGCCTAGTATTAAACCCCCCCCAACCCCCCTAAAATTAAACACTCCCCATTGTGGTATATTGTAGTATATTCGGGAATATTTAATGTTGGGGCGTTTGGGGGGGGGTTAATGTGAGGGGGAGAGGGTCAATCCACATAAACTCACGTAAAACATCCAGCAACGCTGAGAACCACCAACATGACAAGGACGACAACCATGATGGCGGCAAGTGCAACAAGCCCGAGATCTGAAAGAGCAAAAGTTTCTTGGAAGCTTGCGAATGCTTAGGTTATAGTCCCCCTTAAGTAGATAGAATATGGGGTATATGGGGATCTTATTATAATATACCCAAAGCCGTATTCTATCTACTTAAGGGGGACCATAGCTACCTGAGAGGCTTTAAGAACCTATCTGGTTACTTGGCTGCCGGGCATGGATTCTACTCCAACCTCAGTGCTGGCAGGACGGCCCTTGCGATGCTCTTGAACTTTCAACAGACTTGGACTTTCTCAGTATTGGAGTTATATGTGGGACTATATGGGTATACTGGAAAAGAAAAAGAAACTACTATAGTATATATATATATATAGTGGGGTTATATTGGATTTATCGGGCTAGGGCATGTGGATCAAATTCATGCCCGTTCTGAGAAGGCTCTCACTTTTATTGGAATGATACGTTTATGCAGCTTTCTTCTGGGTTCAGATGCTGTCTCGCTTGTCATCAGCTTGTGCCGTCTATGTAAGAACTGAAGAACCATCCATTGCTATTACCATAAGAGAAGGATATTGTTCAATTTCTCAATGCCTTGGTCAACAACCTTGGAGGGATCTCCTGGGTTAGATTTTAAACACGGCCGTCGAACAAGAACTCCGGATAGAGAGTCCTTCATACACACGGAGGTTCGGAGTGTCTGGAGAGACACTTCCATGTGCCTCCAGTGTGCTTGGGGGATGGGAGCACCCCCACGGAATACCATACCTCCACGTAGAAGTGAAGGGAGGGTAGGGTGGGACAAACGAAAGCTGGAAGGACGCAGCAATGGAAAATAAAATAGAAACCACCATGTCAGTGCAAGACGGACTTTATCCAAGTGTGCCCGTGTCTGCATTTGACAGCGTATGCTCTCGTAATTCTTGCATGTTTCGGGCATGTAAACATTCAACAATACATGCTGTCGGACACGGACATTGCATAGTTTTGGCAATGTGAGCGGCGGGCAAGGCATGCTCTGGTTAGTGGACGACGCAGATTGAACAACAGGTGCTCTGGTAAGCGGAGGATGAAGAAGAGGAATTTGTCGTAGCTTGGGGATGCGCACACTGTAGTATATTGGGGTTATATTTGGGATAATGGAAAACCAAATGGAAACTACTATAGTATATTGGGGTTATATTGGAATAATGGAAAGCGTATGTCTCCCAACGTCTTTTCATGGTGTGGACGTGTGCATTTAACAACCGATACTCTTGCAAGCTCCACATGACTGTGAATCCCTCTGAAGCTACTCCACCCACCAACCCCCACATGAAGAACGATGAGAAAGCTGCCGCAGCTAGGGTTTAGAGTTTAGGGTTAACCCTATAACTCTTATATGGTAGTTTCCCAAAATAGGGGGACCCCAATATAGACCCCAATATACTATAGTCCTTATTATTGGGACCCAAAATGGCGCCCCTAATTTTTGGAAACGCTAAACCCTATGTGCCCCTATAGAACCCTATACAACCTGTATATATATATATATATTTTTTTTCTATGGTAACCCCAATTTTGGGAAAGCCTATATAACCTGTCACGACACGGCCTCCGGATCTTCGGCTTTCTCCTGCAGCTCTTCCCGAAAGTCCCGTAGCCTCTTGGTGTGTCGTCGTCCAAGCTCCTTGTCTTTATGGTTTAGGGTTCAGGATCTAGGGTTTAGAACAGCACCGATCCATTCCAAACCCCTCATTACTCCCTGTAGCCCGCCATGTGCGAGAATCGCAGACTTTCCATTTTCTTTTACATTTTTCAAGTTGATTCACCTTTATTTGGATGGCATCCCTGTATAGCCCTGTATAACACCATCTACATCCCTACAAAAACTCAGTTTCCATTTCATAGTCCAATTTCCTTGTCAATTTGATTCTCCAATAGTTCCCCTTTTCTTGTCCATTATAACTATAACCTCCATAAAACCATGTAAATCCTAAACCCGATACCATAAATCATAAACTCTAACCCTAAATCCTAAACTCAGAACCCTAAACCCTGAGCCCCAAGCCCTAAACTCTAAGCCCTAATCCCTTAGCCCTTAACCCTAAACCCTGATTCCTAAGCCCTAAACCCTAAACCCTAAATCCCAAAACCTAAACCCTAAACCCTGAGCCCTAAGCCCTAAACCCATGATTCTTGAAGCAGCTTCGGCAGTCCTCGCGGCGAGAAGAGGACTGCAAAAGCGGAATGCTTTGCATATGAGACATAACTTAGGCTATATTGGGTGCATGTATAATATATATGTGGAGAATATTGCAGGGTGGGGGATTCTTCTAAGACATAATGATAAGAGTAACAATAATAAAAGAAATACAGGTAATCATAGTTTTAATACTGATATTTGATACTGCTAGTAATAGTCATAACAAACGTACAAATAGAGTCCGGGGGACTGTGGGCGT